AAAACACTGCAAACATGAGACAAACGGGTCTGCAGGATGGAGACAGCTGCTGCCGGACTAAAACAGAAATGATATTTAACTTTCTGTTGAGTTCAGAAACTATTTTCTGTCTTAACAAGAGACAGAAAGGACTCCACACTGTCACGACTCATTAAACAGCTAAAGCCAAATGGAGAAGCTGGAGACAGGCACCTGCTCTACCCTGCAACGATAAGCAGGTGGACATGCAGGAAGAAGAGGACCGGATTCCTCTTCTTCCTGCATTTGACGCAGACAGACATGAAGCGGCCTGGAGGATCACAATGCTTCGCTGTGGGAGTCGCTGAGACTCTTTCTGTGGTCCACAGAGTGAGAAGCAGCCCTGCAGACCAACGATTCGTCCACCTGCAGGTTTTCTTCTCCTGCTTCGGTCTGCGGGGCGGCGGCCCAGAACACGCACTCATAAACCGCTCCCAGCTGCCACATGTGGTCACCATGTGTGCTCTGGTTCTGTGTTTGAACTGAGCGGCGCTGATTGCAAGAAGGTAACACACACACACACACACACACACGCACGCACGCACACACGCACACACGCACGCACGCACGCACGCACACACGCACACACACGCACGCACGCACGCACGCACACGCGCACGCACGCACACACACGCACGCACACGCACACACGCACGCACGCACACACACACACGCACGCACACACACACACACACACAGACACACACACAGAGGTAGCAAAGGCAAAATAAACACACTGTAGATTTACCACAACCATTCTGGTCATTATAGCCAGAATGATGTGGGTCAGACTGAAGCTGAGCTGCTCATGCATCTTCCTGAAAGACCCTCTGGTCAGACATCCAGCAGTTTGGTGAAGCGTCTTCTACAATCTCTGCTCTGACTTTAGAGAACATGAATAAAACTGCAGTCTCTCTCTCTCTGTGTTTCACATCACCTCTCTGGTTTTATGCCTTCGTCCTTCGTTTTACCAGACAGGTTCTTTCTTACTGGACCAAAGTCAAGACAAGCCTGTTAAAAAGCTTCATCGAGTCACAGACTGCAGGTTCTTAAACACATTTATTAAAGTCAGCACCGTCGGTTCCAGTCAGGCGCCTTCTCCTGGGCCTGCTGGTAACTGGATCGGCGGAAAAATCAACGGGCTACAAAATACAAAATATGTCAATAAATGGGAAAAAATATTTTAGCTCTAGATGTTTGTTGAAAAAACCTGAAGGATCTCTTTAAGCTGCAGACTGAAGACAGACGGAAATGTAGAACTTTGTGTTCGGTCCAAGGTTCCGATTGGACTTCAGGAATTCATCGGATTTGACCGACAGTTTCCACAAACGTTTTTATTCGAGGCTTAAATTCTTTTGTCTGTTTCTGGATGATGAAAAGAGTCATGCTGTGGGGTCCAACTGCTCTCCTGAAAAGGTGGTCACTTCCATGGCAGCCAGTCACAGGTGTTTTTACAGCGTAACTCCTGGATGGGTTCAGCTTTCCAAGCAAAGTTCTCAGTTCTTCAGAACAGATTAAACCTGACAGAAGTCGGGACGAATTTCAGCATCTAAGTAGATTTTCTTTTCGGTGTTTTGGGCGAGTTGCTCTTTACTTGATCCGTCATCGTGCTCAGAAACAATCTGCAGCTCATTTGAACTTTCTGTTCTTTCTCCTCGACGTATTTGATCCATCTGTTTCACCTCACACTGCATCACATCACTTTCTGTCTCCTCCAGAGTTTGTGTCAGGAGACGCTGCCTCTCGTCTCGGCTCCGCCCTCCAAGCCTTTCTAATGACCGAACAGGAACAAAGCCTGATAAATGAGCCTTTAGAACAAGCACACATGTGGGCCATGCAGGAACACCCAGAAGCAAGCAGCCCTGCTCCTCCTCCTGCCAGACTCAAACCAAACAGCGTCTGGTCCGGGTTCCTCTTCCCTGCTGCTCCACACTGAACCCAAACCAAAACCCTGCAGGTTTCCACGCAATGAGGGTCGATACCAGAGCGACGAAGGTGTTAACAGGTTTATGTGTGCGACCATGAAGTGATTTAACTGCTCACAGAGAGCTGGGCAGGAACAGGCAGCTATTAGGTTATATAACCTTTTGACAGCTCCCAGCTGGCCTGAAGAGCTGCATCGCTCTGCTTTCCTACACACATGAAGGCAACACCACCACAACGCAACACGCACACATGCATGTTCTCCATTATTCAGATGTGAAGGAGATGTTCCAAACACGCCACCGCGTCCCGGATCCGTTCCGGTTCTGAACATTCGTCAGTCATTACGTCAGTCTGGCCTGCCATTTCATTTGTTGCCAGCAGAGTGCGCCGCCTCCAGGACGGATGGAGTCAATTAAGAGCACAAAATAACAACACAAACATAAAACCCCAGATTTTGTGTTATGGAAGGATACAGTCCCAACCATCTGGAACTCAGAGTAGTTGTCGCTCTTCAGCTGCTGAACCAGTGGCAGCGCGAGTCCTTCATGAAGGAAAACATCCCTGGAGCAGAAACAATTCCCGTTAGAGCCGGCCGGGATGAGATGGAATAAAACATCACAATTAGAAGAACCTCCTGATGCAGCAGATTCATTCACCGGTTTCTGACTGGCTGACTAACGTCCACACTAATCCGCCTCTTGGGACGACGGCGCTGAGCCAACAGGAGGCAAACATCTGGACCCGAGCGTCACATCAGAACCTGAAGCTGCTCCACGCATAGAGGAGCCTGTGTGTGAGGGGTTGTGTGTGTTTGCAGACACCTGTCTGTGTGTGTGTGTGTGTGTGTGTGTGTGTGTGTGTGTGTGTGTGTGTGTGTGTGTGTGTGTGTGTGTGTGTGTGTGTGTGTGTGTGTGAGGCAGAGTCGGGGCTTCCCCTGCTCAGCTAATGAGGGGAACACAGCTCTCATTGACTGTCTTTGCTCTGGGCTGACGTCCCTCTGGCAGCAGAAACACAGACGACCGCAGAGAGACGCAGCGACGATGGAAAGAACAACTTGACCAGCGGAGAGAGCGAGAAACAGAAAAAGAGAGAAATAACACCATGAAGGAGTGAAAGGCACAGATGCTCTGACTAACGTTTGTTTGGTTTAACTGAAAAGATTCAAAAGCAAGAAAAGAAACATCTGGCTGGAAATCCAGAGAAATTAAATCATCTTCTCAGGTTTATAAAGTCGGTTGCTCTGCAGCCAACCTTCAAGTTCAGATGGAGCTATTCTTTCAGGAAGAAAGGTTTTAAATGAGGCATCATCTAGGGCCTCTGTTTGCATCATCTCCAGAGTCCTGGTCCTTCAACTCTATAGCGCCACCCACAGGAGGAAGAAATGAGAAACAAAGTCACTGAGATCTATTCATCTGATGCTCACAAGCCCTTTACTCCAGTCCAGATCAACTCTCACATCTCGTTCTCTCTCCATGCAGCTGGCCCTTTAATGATTCTAGCCCGAGGTCGGGTTCTGATCCAGAATCATCTGGGTGTGAGCGACAGAACAGAAAGATGAGAGGAAGTCAGGAACAAAGAAGGAGAGGAGAAAACCTGATCTGAGTTCAGAGATCAATGTCCAAGTTTCCAGAACCAGCAGTGTCTGCAGCGTTCTGACCCAAAAACTCTCAGCTCAAATCCACCGAGGCCGCTGGCTAATAACTGTTCTTTCCCTTTTTAGCCAATAAAAATGTTATTTTTTTCCACTTGCTTTCAATAAAGAGCAGCTTCTCTTTCCGATGACTTTGCATCAGTGAGGATTCAGCTTCCAGATTCCCAGCTGCTCCCTGGAAAAGCGGCAATTTCTTCAGAGAACGTTGGATCTCATGGACCCAACCTTCACTGATGACCCATTCTGGTCTTCTTAAGGTTTGTTGTCTTTTGTTTCTCCAGCTTCCTTTTTAAAGCTTCAGATGTGGGGAGTCTGTTTTACCTTAAAGACTCTTTATGATTTCTATAACTTTACAACACAAAGTTTTATCTTTCTGGAAGATCCACCATTTCCTGGACCGATGGAAGGAAATGTTTTTGGACAGATAAAACCTGCAGCTGAGAGCTGACCTTCAGAAATGCTGTCAGTGTGGAATCTCACCGTAGTCGGTGTGGAAGATCTGACGAACCAGCAGCAGGAACCACTCCTTGGTCAGACCGCCCATGTCAAGCCCCGCCTCCCCGACAAACGTCACCCGCAGCTTCTTCTTCAGGTCGCACCGTTTCCTCATCAACTGCACAGAGACACAAACAAAGCTTCAAACTAATGTTGTCCTTGCTGCTTCGGTGTGATATTTTATCACAGAGCTGTCTGGGGAAGAACAGAACCATGTGTGCTGAACATGACGGATTACAGACGTTTGGTGTGAACCTCACACAGAGGAGGAAAGACTTCAGATTTACGATCCGGCTGGAGGGAGAGCTGCAGACATTCCTGCTAATCTTCAGGCTCTTTATATTCACAGACTCTCCCATCCACTGTTCCCACAACATTAATTAGCCTTTTCCCCTCACTGGAGCATCAGGAAAACAGGCTTTTCTGCTGGTCTCCTCACACATCCTGAAACTCCAGCTAACGCCGGCTGCTTCAGGCTGATCCTCATCCTCCTTAAAGGCCTAAAGGTTCTGCTGGAACCTGCTCACTGGGTACCTTAATGTCTGTGGGTCCACTAGAGCATAACAGCAGCATTTGGTCAAAGCACTTCCTGTTTTTAGTTGTAACTCTGGCTGTTGTGGCCCTGGATGGCTTTACGGTGTTTAAGCTGCTTTGGTGTTTCCATAATCAGCCATCAACAGAGTTGCTCTCGTGAGCCCAGCCTTCAGCCAATCAGGGACAGCCGGTCTTCTGATGTCATGTTTAACCCAAACTTGACTCCATTAGAACCTAAAAAGAGGTTGACCGATACAAATGGAAAACCCTGGTGATCGAGACGCAGTCAGGCCTCTTCTCCACAGTTCTGTCCTGCTTTCTGAAACCACCTGGATGGATCGTCCTGAAACGAGCCAGGTGTTGTGTGTAAGCAATCTGATTGGCACAGGAAGCACTCGTTGATATGGACTTACGTCAACAACCCCATTCACCAGCCAAATCAAACCCTGAGGTCCACACCTCAGGGTTTGATGATCATCAGGATTTTCTACAGGTGCAGCTCATTTCAGCTTCTAGTATACAAAATCTACTTCCTTCAGTCATGAGCACAAGGTGATACAATCTAGAGTAAAGGTTCTGGGTTCAGATATTTCCTCAGATATTATAGCAGACGAAGCTCCAAACCAAATGTCCATAAGTCATGAATCCAGATCTGACCTTCAGACAGACGTGGAGTAAAACCTGAAGCTCTTCAGTGAAAACCAACCCTGACACACCTGAACTCTCCCACAATCACAATAACGACGTCAGCGCTGACCTCATCCAGCGAGTCGCTCAGGAGTTGTGCTCGTCGAACTTTAATGTTGAGGAACAGCAGGTTCATGTCCACCCTCTGCCTGCGGGACACTTTGCTCACCAGGCTCAGCTGTGGAGCAGACAGACACGTCTTTATCTGACCCTCAGCGCTGATTCTTCAGCGCATCGTTTCCTCACCCTGGCCTGGCTGATCATCTGCTGCTCCGAGTCCTTCTGGATGATGGCTTTCTTCACCACTGTCGACAGGATGAAGGGGAACTGACAAAAAGAAAACCTGACGAGAGAGAAGAAGAAGAAACAAAATGAGTGGATCACTTTCCTCACAGAAACATTTCGTTCCTGACCGCCCTGTGATGTCTGATCCAAGCTCAGCCATCCTTCATGACCCGGATCCCCCGACACGCCAGCCAGGGAGTTCTTTCCGTCTGAAGCTGTTTGAACTGCAGGCTCTGGATCAGTTTCCATCGTCAGGCTCCAACGAGGCGCGACGCAGCGTGAAACAAACTTCATGGCTTCTGTGAGACTTTCCACGGTTCTGAACAAACTGCAGCTGTGGGAACATTTCTTCATCTCCGCTCCATCGGACTTTCAGGAACCCTGAGACGGAGTTGACCCCGGCCGCGGTTCCTGGAGGGAAACTGGACCTTTCCCCGTCCTGATCTGAGGAGTGCGACTTCTCTGAGGATTTTAACCAACAAACTGCAGAACATGTAGTCACAGAAAGTATTTTGTTCTCAACATCTGGAGAACCAAGTCCACCCTGTGACCCGGCAGCTGGAAGCGGCTCCTCTCTGGCAGCACTGCAGAGCTGTTCACATGTTGACGTCTGGACTTTGACTAGACCATTTCTGTACATTGACTCTTTCATTTTTCTGTTGTAGATTTTGTGATCGTTGTCTTGTTGATGACCCGGTTTGGATCTTCGTTGTCAGACAGATGGACTCACATCTCAGGAGACCATGGTCCAATCAATAACGCCAGGTTTCCAGGTTATGTTGCTGCTAACGACGCCCATATCATCACACCTCCACTACCGTACTTGACAGCTGGTCTGAGGTCTTGGTGCTGATCTGCTCTGTCTGGTTTTTCTAATCATGGTTCTGTCCATTCTAGCCAAACATTTCTACTTTGGTCTCCTCAGTCCAAAGGACAATGTCCCAGAAGTTCAGATTAGAAACAGGCAATTGAACTTGAAAAGTTATTTCAGTGTATTTATTGAAGTAGTGATGAACGGCAGCGGTGGACACGCCTCTGCTGACCCCATGATAGCAGAACTGATTCCTGTTGACAGCTTTGCGTTTTTGGAAACATTTCTCATGTTTTTCATGAATTTTTGCAAAACAATCCGAAAACAGCTACTGCTCACATTCTCCATCCGTGATGCAGTGAGGCAAATTCTGTACCAGAATGCATTGCTGTAGTGCTACAGACGCTTAAGCCCAAACCATACAGGTAGGTAAGTAATGACTAAGTTGACCCTGTTGGGGGCGATATACTGATACACTGGGTATCAGGCTGTAGCCCTTTAGCATTAGCACAACTAGTGTTTATGATTAGCGCTTCAGAGTTAGCGTTGCTAAGTCTTTAGCTAGCAGCTAAAAAACTTTAAATAATAAAAGTTTAATTCAGGCTGTCCAGTCTTAATTATTAAGACAGTTTCATATACTTTATACACAAATAATTTATAATAATTATAAAGCCGACAAAAACAGGCCAAATCTTCAGTTTGATTGACTGAATCTGACCTGTTTGAGTTGCCGTAGTTCTGCCAGGTCCGGTAGTCCTCCATGAAATCTATGTGCTCCAGAGTGATGTTGTAGAAGTCGTGAAGGGCATGATGGGAGGAGAGGAGACGCTGTTGGGTGCGTCTGGCAGGAAGACAGTAAACGGTGTGGAAGCGATCTGCAGGGTGACCCGGCGGCGAGGCGTCTGTGAGACTCACTGAACAGGCTGAGCACTTTGGTGGCCGAGGGAATCCACCAGGAACACTTGGCCGGAGGAAGCTCGTCTGGTTCTGCAGGAAACAGGCGCGCGGAGATGAACTGCAGGAGGCGCTCCACCAGCTGCCGGAAGCGCCTGGCCGACAGCCTGACGGACCAAACCAGACCCATGTCACCAAGGCGTTAAAGGCGAACACAGGAGGACCAAAATAGAGACTTCACAGAAAAAACAGAGCGAGGGAGAAGAAAAGCAGAGTCGGCTGGAAAAACGTGGCTTTCAGGATCTGAGCAGAACTAAACAGAACCTCTAATTTGAAGCAGCTTGCTCTTAAATCAAACCCCACAAAGAACATGTTTGAAATGCTCCTGACTCATGCTGGGGGAGACCAACACAGAAGCTGGCTGACGCTGGTCCTCTCAGGTTCTGAGTCAACCCCAGACGCCGTCTGCACCAGGTCACAATTTCACACAGAGACATTTTAAAAGCAGAAAATTGAAACAGTTTTACTCTCTGCAGCTGAGGGTTGGTTCAAATCAGATACATGAACTTCTCAGATGCAGTGGATGTGAATGAAAGTGTTAGTGGAGCCAGAGAGTAAAACGTTTAGACCGAAATAATTTGTTCTCTTCAGTTTTCTATGAAAACACTTCAAACCGTTTGTTTAATCCGACCAAACAGCCATGAAAAGACGCAGATAATAAAAACTCTCTTTAGATTTATGTTCTCTTCTACTCACTGTGACAAAACCACCAGCTCAGATGTTTTCTTCAGAGAACTGAATTTATCTGCGTTTAGTTGAATAAACTCTGCAGTTTGGTAGTTTGGTTAAAGATGAACAGACTGACCTCTTGAGCCAGTGAACCAGGAAGTGGTGGTCGGCCTCGGACAACGCTGCGATCTGCCGCAGCAGGTGAGCGAAGATCACGTAGGTGCTGGTGCTGGAATACTGGGGGTTCTGGACACAACAGGGTCATGACCTTTGACACGGTTCATCCTGACATGTTGACTCTGAGAGCCTGAGGTTAGAATGTCTGGATCTAACAGGAGAGTTTGGTTCATAGACTGAATTTTGAATAGTTTATGACAGAATCAGAGGTGGGGTTCAACAGATTCATTTGTTTCTGGGGAACAGCAGTCGGAGGGTTTGTCTGCTTTTTGTTTTTCTTTGAGTCAGATTGTGGCTCTATGATCCACATTTACTCTGACATACAAAGTAAAGCTGTTTCAGTCCAAAGGCGTTTGAACTTTGAGTCACTTATTATTCCTCAACAGGTCTTGCCATATTCAGTATTGCTGTAAAGGTCTTTCCATATATGTTCATTCATCTGTAATTAGTAGATTTATTCATATCTTTTGCTCCTTGTGCTCATAGATTTTGTTCACTTTGCTTAATGTTTTTTTTATTCACATTTCAGACTCTGAGTTTACCTCAGTGTAATCTGGGTTATATAATCCCAAATGATGGGTACAAACAAGAAGTAGAGGCTGAATCTGAAGCCAGCTCATTGGCTCATTGATGATAATGGAAAAATTGCAGAGAAAAATAAAAAGCAGACCCCAGAAAAATGTCCAAGTCTCTGGAAAGAACCTTTTCCTGAGAGCCGAACAGAAAAACAAAAAACTGCTTAATTTGTGAATGTGCACAAAACTGAAGACAGAAAGTTTTCAAATAGTTCACTGGGTCAGAATCCAGAATCAAAGTTTCTGTGAGCGGCTTCAGCTTTAATGGTGTTGGGCTGAACAGAACCGAGCAGAACTCCAATAAAGCTGCTGAATAGTTTCTGATGCGTTATGACCAAAAGCTGATTCAAATTATTCTTTGAATCTGCAGCAATAAAAAGGAGAAAGATGCTGAACAGCCTGAGTACTTTTGGATTGGCAGCCTGAAAAAGAGTTTCCTGTTTCATCCAGCAGGGATGGAGGGAGACGAAGTGGATGAAAATCAGAGGCAGAAAGAGATTTGGAGCTGTAGTTTTCTCCAGCACAAACTTCTGATGAACCACAGCTGGAGATGAACTGCAGCCTGAATTTTAATAGCAGTTATCAACAAGCACCATTAAGTTTCAGGGGTTTTGTTCCTATAAAGAGCTCAGATGAGCTCTCAGATCTGCTGTCAGCCAACTGGAAGGCCGGAGAGCTGCAGAACGCACAAAGCGTCCGCTGAAGAAAGAGAAGCCTGATGGGAAGCCTGAGCTGCAGGCGGCGATCAGAGCGATGCGCGCAGGCACAGAGCTGCACACGCCCCTGAACCGTCAAAGATTTTACCCGGAAAAGCTCAGCCAGACCGTCCAGCAGAAACAACATCCACAGCTGAAAGTCGGACTTTACCCGACTGGATTAGCAGTTTGAATTTGTGATACTTTTGAGCCTCATATTATGCAGCTCTGGCCGTAATAATGACTCTGAACCCATGAACTCTGATGTTTACAGTTAAGTGTCTGTCATGGTCACAGTTTCATCCAAATTTGTTCCCATTACAAATGTTTCTACATATTCTGCCTAAAATGCACAGCTGCAGGAAAAGGAGCGAGCCACCATGGCAACACGCGTGTCTCTGGTTCCTCGTCACGCAGCAGTTTCTCTCTGAAACGGCCGCGTCACGCTGGAGGGTCAACACAAGCTGACGTGTTTTCAGTCTCACCTGGATCAGAACGAAATACGCCCGCAGGTCGTCTTTAGTCCGAGGCCTGAAAACAGAAACGCAGAACAAGAACCAGCAGGAGGATGAAACACAAAAATATTTTTCATTTGATCTCATTCTGTCTGGAAATATTAATAACGATGAAGCTGAAGCAATAAACCAGCAGGGGCTGCAGCTCTCACCCTTTCCACTCCCTCAGCAGGCTGTTGATGATTCCTTTCAAGACCGACTTCTGGATGTCCTGAGGCTGAACACAGAGAGACAGACAGTGAGACAGACAGACAGAGAGACAGACACAGACAGAGAGACAGACACAGACAGAGAGAGTGAGACAGACAGAGAGACAGACAGACAGTGAGACAGACACAGACAGAGAGACAGACAGACAGAGAGACAGAGAGAGACAGACAGACAGACAGACAGAGAGACAGAGAGACAGACAGACAGACAGACAGAGAGAGACAGACAGACAGACAGACAGACAGACAGACAGACAGACAGACAGAGAGACAGATAGACAGTGAGACAGACAGACAGTGAGACAGACAGACAGAGAGACAGACAGACAGACAGACAGAGAGAGAGACAGACAGACAGACAGAGAGACAGACAGACAGACAGAGAGACAGACAGACAGACAGACAGACAGACAGAGAGACAGACAGACAGACAGACAGACAGACAGACAGACAGACAGAGAGACAGACAGACAGAGAGTCAGACAGACAGACAGACAGACGTCTGCTCTTTGTGTTTGTCCAGCTTTAAAACTCAACATTGAACTGAAACCCAAACTCAAGCAAAGCTGAACTTTTTTCATAAAAGTTTTAAAAGTCCGGTTTGTGAGCTGAAGGTTGGACCTCATGAATCGATCCGACTCAGTTACAGATGATTATAAATATTTAAACTACTAAAATTAACTAAACACTAACTGTGTTTTTAATTTCTATTACAGTGGAGCTGAGACACAGCGCCCTCCAGTGGTTGCTTCTGTCACATGGAGTCCCTCAAGGTTCAGTCCTGGGAACCCTCCTATTTCATATGTATTGATCCTGCCAGCTCGGATGATTAGTTGCCATCACAACTCACGGCTCATCAGAACCGGGTTTTGGGTCTTACTGTGCTGAGCAGCGAGTCGTAAACCGCGCTGACGAACTTCCCGTTGACCCCTGAGTCCTCGATAGTGTTGAACAGTCCGTTGGCCTCTCGCTGCGGGACATTCAGACACGGTGAGGAAACGGAAGCAGCCAGGACGCAGCGGCGGACATTTATCCATTTTACCTTGAAGGCGGCATTGATTTCTACGAAGGAGTCGAAGGTCGTCAGGTAAAACTCTCTGACTTCCCTCCAGTCACCTGATTGGGCGGCTCGCTCCACGTCCTCCCTGTTGGAAACGGCAGATGGTGTAACGCGGCGCGGTGAAGAGCATTCTGGGATGTTTCAGCGTCAGAGACGAGACTCACTGGAACTCCTTGGTGGTTTTGGTCCGCAGGGGGATGACGGGGTCGCAGGGGAACGGAGCTTTGACTTCCTGAGGCAGCGTGTCGATGGAGAGCCGCTGCTTCTGCCGGACGTCGCTGCAGATGGGAGGCAGTTCCCTCACGGCTGCAGCGCGGGAACACAGGAGATCATGAGGAAAACAGAACAGCATCCGGGTTCATAAACAGTGCTCATTTTTAAAAGCTGTATTTTTCACCATCTTATTCAGATATTTAATGTTCCAAACTAAATATTTAGCTTGCACAATAAATTAGGAAGCTAAACACTTAGCTCTGAAGTAAATGTTTCATTCTGATGGAAATATTTAATGTGCAAACTAAATAAATAGCTCAAAATTAAATATTGTTTGTTACATAAATATTTATTTTCAATGTATTTTTTCCCCAAACTAAATATTAAATTTTTAAACAAGATATTTATTTTCCAAATTAAATATTTAGTTTTGTAACTAAATATTTAGATTAATTCTAAATATTTAATTTGGAAAACAAAAGTTTAGTTTGGAACTAAACATTTATTTAGTATTTATTTAGTAAATATGCAAATTATAAAAATTACCTTGTGGATAAGTGGAAGTAGACTATCAAAATAAGAGCTTGGTTTTGTGGACCTCTATATAAACTTAACTGCGTCTCTTCAGTCTTCAGTATAGTTTTTATTTTCGTGCATCATCAGTTGTTTTGCTCCTAACATGTCTGGTGTCTTTGCTCCGTTTTAACGGAGAAACACGTTTATTCAGATCTAGAAATGAGAAATGAGTTAATTTTTCTGCTTTTACATCTAAAAGTGACGCCTGCTGATCCAACATGGAGGCCAGTCCTCCACCAGGTGGAAACACATGTCCTCCCACTCACCCACCCACCACCCACTGCCCACCCACCCTCCCACTGACCACACTGACCCACCCACCCACTGACCCACCCACCCTCCCACTGACCCACCCACTGACCCACCCACCCACCCACCCACTGACCCACCCTCCCACTGACCCACCCTCCCACTGACCCACCTCCCACTGACCCACCCTCCCACTCATCCTTTCTCCTCATAATTGGCCCCTCGTTGTCTGCGTCTCCACGGTAACTCCATTCAGGTGCATTGTGGGAATTCATCCTGCAGGACAGATTGTTCAAGCAGGAGGAAAAAGGAGCTCAGAGGTCATCAGGTGTGAAACAGATTTCTTCTTTCCTCTGCAGGCCTCAGTTAGCAGGTCAAAGGTTAAAGGTCACGCAGTCTGGATAAAACCTCTTCACTTTGAAAATCCGGCAGCAGAACTTTGTTTTGCAAAGCTGCAGCTGATGGTTGGGAAATGATTCGTTGGGAATCATTTCTCAGGGTTCTGATAAAGTTCTATATTTACTATGACTTCTTACCATGACAACAAAATGTTGTTTTACTTCTGGCGATGATCTTCAAAAAGTAACTGAACTTTGACCCCACATCCCAGAGGAGTTGATAAAGAGATAGAGAAAGTTCCAAGCATCCGTCATACTGGGCAGGAACCATTATCCCTACTTCTGCATCTTTCTAGCCAAACGACCAGACAGAGATTTAAAGAGCAGCTAAAGCAAACGAGGTGGATTAGCAGAGCGAGCTAACTGATGGAGTCATTCAGGACGATACTGTGGAAACTGATACTGAGCTGGTAGCAGCAACAGCCTCAGTCAGAGGTTGAAGAAGACGACCCTTCCAGCCCCACAGCATCACTAAAACAGAAACTCTCAAAAATACATGTTGCCGTTCTCCTCCATGTTTCCGTCCCTCCATGTTGCCGTTCTCCTCATGTTGCCGTTCTCCTCCATGTTGCCGTTCTCCTCCATGTTGCCGTTCTCCTCATGTTGCCGTTCTCCTCATGTTGCCGTTCTCCTCCATGTTGCCGTTCTCCTCCATGTTGCCGTTCTCCTCATGTTGCCGTTCTCCATGTTGCCGTTCTCCTCATGTTGCCGTTCCTCATGTTGCCGTTCTCCATGTTGCCGTTCTCCTCATGTTGCCGTTCTCCTCCATGTTGCCGTTCTCCTCATGTTGCCGTTTCTCCATGTTGCCGTTCTCCTCATGTTGCCGTTCTCCTCCATGTTGCCGTTCTCCTCATGTTGCCGTTCTCCTCATGTTGCCGTTCTCCTCATGTTGCCGTTCTCCTCATGTTGCCGTTCTCCTCATGTTGCCGTTCTCCTCATGTTGCCGTTCTCCTCATGTTGCCGTTCTCCTCCATGTTGCCGTTCTCATGTTGCCGTTCTTCATGTTGCCGTTCTCTCATGTTGCGTTCTCATGTTGCCGTTCTCCTCATGTTGCCCGTTCTCCTCCATGTTGCCGTTCTCCTCATGTTGCCGTTCTCCTCCAGTTGCCGTTCTCCCCATGTTTCCGTTCTCCTCATGTTGCCGTTCTCCTCCATGTTGCCGTTCCTCCATGTTGCCGTTCTCCTCCATGTTGCCGTTCTCCTCATGTTGCCGTTCTCCTCATGTTGCCGTTCTCTCATGTTGCCGTTCTCCTCCATGTTGCCGTTCTCCTCCATGTTGCCGTTCTCCTCCATGTTGCCGTTCTCCCCATGTTGCCGTTCTCCTCATGTTGCCGTTCTCCTCCATGTTGCCGTTCCCTCATGTTGCCGTTCTCTGATTGGTGCTTCTCCTCCATGTTGCCGTTCTCCTCCATGTTGCCGTTCTCCTCATGGTGCCGTTCTCCTCATGTTGCCGTTCTCCTCATGTTGCCGTTCTCCTCATGTTGCCGTTCTCCTCATGTTGCCGTTCTCCTCCATGTTGCCGTCTCCTCATGTTGCCGTTCTCCTCATGTTGCCGTTCTCCTCATGTTGCCGTTCTCCTCCATTTGCCGTTCTCCTCCATGTTGCCGTTCTCCTCCATGTTGCCGTTCTCCTCCATGTTGCCGTTCTCCTCCATGTTGCCGTTCTCCTCCATGTTGCCGTTCTCCTCATGTTGCCGTTCTCCTCCATGTTGCCGTTCTCCTCATGTTGCCGTTCTCCTCCATGTTGCCGTTCTCCTCCATGTTGCCGTTCTCCTCATGTTGCCGTTCTCCTCCATGTTGCCGTTCTCCTCCATGTTGCCGTTCTCCTCCATGGTGCCGTTCTCTCATGTTGCCGTTCTCTGATTGGTGCCGTTCTCCTCCATGTTGCCGTTCTCTCCATGTTGCCGTTCTCCTCATGGTGCCGTTCTCCTCCATGTTGCCGTTCTCCTCATGTTGCCGTTCTCCTCATGTTGCCGTTCTCTGATTGGTGCCGTTCTCCTCATGTTGCCGTTCTCCTCCATGTTGCCGTTCTCCTCATGTTGCCGTCTCCTCCATGTTGCCGTTCTCCTCCATGTTGCCGTTCTCCTCATGGTGCCGTTCTCCCCATGTTGCCGTTTCTCCATGTTGCCGTTCTCCTCCATGTTGCCGTTCTCCCCATGTTGCCGTTCTCCTCCATGTTGCCGTTCTCCTCCATGTTGCCGTTCTCCCCATGTTGCCGTTCTCCTCATGTTGCCGTTCTCCTCATGTTGCCGTTCTCCTCCATGTTGCCGTTCTCTGATTGGTGCCGTTCTCCTCATGTTGCCGTTCTCCTCCATGTTGCCGTTCTCCTCATGTTGCCGTTCTCCTCCATGTTGCCGTTCTCCTCCATGTTGCCGTTCTCCTCATGGTGCCGTTCTCCCCATGTTGCCGTTCTCCTCCATGTTGCCGTTCTCCTCCATGTTGCCGTTCTCCCCATGTTGCCGTTCTCCTCATGGTGCCGTTCTCCCCATGTTGCCGTTCTCCTCCATGTTGCCGTTCTCCTCCATGTTGCCGTTCTCCCCATGTTGCCGTTCTCCTCCATGTTGCCGTTCTCCTCCATGTTGCCGTTCTCCCCATGTTGCCGTTCTCCTCATTTTGCCGTTCTCCTCATGTTGCCGTTCTCCTCCATGTTGCCGTTCTCTGATTGGTGCGTCCCACGTGGTGATATCTTGTTTCCAAAGGTCGTCCTGTAACTTTATCCAGTAACTTCAGGATACAGATTGGCTCTAATCTTTATCCTCGGTGAACTCTGCACATGGATGATGTGGGCTGAGGGTCGGTTAGGCCTTCAGTGGGTGGAGACTTTGACTGGTCCGCCACATCATCCAGGCTACTTGTCATGGCAACCAGTCCTGGTTGCCATGGCAGCTTTTCATGGCCTTCAGCCCAGCATGATGTCATCTGAAGGCTTTGATCGTCCTCTGGGTTCAGACTCTGATGAATCCCCGCTCTGGTCTCTGGTTGTCTTTGTTTAGAACCGTAACAGAAACAACAGTTACCATCAGACCTGACATGATGGAAAAGCGTCCTGGTGGAAAAGCGTCCTGATGGAAAAGCGTCCTGATGGAAAAGCGTCCTGATGGAAAAGCGTCCTGATGGAAAAGCGTCCTGATGGAAAAGCGTCCTGGTGGAAAAGCGTCCTGATGGAAAAGCGTCCTGATGGAAAAGCGTCCTGATGGAAAAGCGTCCTGATGGAAAAGCGTCCTGATGGCGTTTTATCCTTCCTGGCCTCTGGCTCTGAAAGCGAGGCGTCAGTGTTTTCTGACTCGAAGCTCCAGATGAACCTCTGATTAGTTCGGCCTCAGAACTCAAAACCATAGTTGAGGAAAATGAAAAAGGAAACAGAAACCTCCTGAATCTGTGATTATCCAGCAGACTTGACGACTGTAACCAGGCAGAGGAATGCTGCAGCGTCCTGGGTATGCCTGCGTGTGTGTGTGTGTGTGTGTGTGTGTGTGTGTGTGTGTGTGTGTGTGTTGTATGTGTGTGTGTGTATATGTGTGTATATGTGTGTGTGTGTGTGTGTGTGTGTGTGTGTGTGTGTATGTGTGTGTGTGTATATGTGTGTATATGTGTGTGTGTGTGTGTGTGTGTGTGTGTGTGTGTGTGTGTGTGGTGTGTGTGTGTGTGTGTGTGTGTGTGTGTGTGTGTGTGTGTGTGTGTGTGTGTGTGTGTGCTGTTTTCCTTTCATATGGTTTTCATTTGAGATGGAGGTTCGCATAATTATTCTGGCATCAGTCTCAGTGGTGACAAAGCTGGCTGATGAGCGCTCCGCTGGGTCTCCGTTCTCATGGCGGTCAGAAATAACCTCGCCTTTTACGAGAACCAACATCCTCCTCCGTGTAAAAACACTCGCAGTGACTCAGAACCGACGAGACGTCCGCTGCTTCACCAGAACCTCGGCTGCACATTTCAGCCCAGAAACCAGAGAGGTTTGCATCAGCAGAAATCTGAGTTACGGTTCCGATCCTGGGTTTGGATCCGGTCACACAACGCTGCCCCTCCTGCCATGCAGGCTGCATTCTGACTGAATACATGAGGCATACTGTAAACAGAGGAAGTAACACATCATTACATCTCAGACGGGACCCACATCAGATCCACTCAGAGAGCAGAACCGGGTCGGGCTGTAGGTGAGGTAAACCTTCTGGAGAGGAGAGCCAGGTTTCGTTCCAATCAGCCAATCACTGCAAAGTTTCAGCACTTCAAACACGATTAAATGAGTTAAATCAGATCAGAATTAGTTCAACGTGATCACAGCAGAAAGCAGAAGGTTTCTGTTTCCACACATCATGGTGGACTTGGTTCTATTGGGGACCAAAGTTTCATCATCTGCTGTGGCTCTGAGTCCAACCAGCCTGTTCCCCTCCTGGCCTGTGGGGGCGCTGCACCAAGAACCAATGCAGGAAACGGCACAAAAACCTCTGAAGACACTGAGAGCAACTTCCTGTTTCACCAGATGAAACAAGATGGAGGCGTTGGAGGATTTCTCCTGCTGGCGCTAAATTTGTGTATTTGCTTTGATTCTATTTACCCAGAATGCCCTGTGCTGTCGTCACTTCCTGGTTTGGGACGGTCTACTGTCTGCTTGGCTTTCAGTTCAACTGAACCCAAACCGACGTCCAAATCGTCTTCTTCCATTCTTCCTTCGGTCTCCCAGCAACCAACACAGCCAAGGTGCAGCATGACCTCATGCTGCAGCAGCAGCATGACCTCATGCTGCAGCAGCAGCATGACCTCATGCTGCAGCAGCAGCATGACCTCATGCTGCAGCAGCAGCATGACCTCATGCTGCAGCAGCAGCATGACCTCATGCTGCAGCAGCAGCATGACCTCATGCTGCAGCAGCAGCATGACCTCATGCTGCAGCAGCAGCATGACCTCATGCTGCAGCAGCAGCATGACCTCATGCTGCAGCAGCAGCATGACCTCATGCTGCAGCAGCAGCATGACCTCATGCTGCAGCAGCAGTTCTCAGGATGAACATCGTATCTCAGCTGATGTCACTCACAGTGCCTGATCCCCAGGGGGCCGGTCAGTGGGCCCCCGATGCCCATGGCGAAGCCCCGCCCTCCTGCGTCTCTCCTCTGGCTTAGGGTGGAGATGAAGGTTCCCAGAGACGGAAACGGCTGCTTAGGTCCTCGTCCCAAAACCTGCCATGAAGAAAACGTCTGTTTAGTATTCAGTAACAATAGGATGTTATCTGCAATAAGTCAGATAAATCTGAAGATTTCCACAGGATCACACTTCTGCTAATGCGCTAACAGCAGAGCTCCTTTTTCATTTAGCGTCTTGACCTAGCTTTTAAAATGTTTTTCAGATCAATTCTGAACTAACTTTTTTGCTGTTTAATGAACTTGCAGACGAACAAATTTTTTTATTAAAAATTCTTCACGTCGTTAGATGTTTATGTTCATGCTCTTATTTTGAAGTGTTTACGCAGCAGGTCCATTTCCTCGCAGGTCCCATGATGCAGTGCTGCAATTGTTCTTCATTCTGTACCCAGAATGCATTGCTGTAGAGCGGCAAACAGTTTTATCTCAGGATTGCTGTGAATGCCATAATTTATCAAGGCTGAAGCAACATAAATTATCCTTGTGGAGGAAAGCTGATTGGCAGAGGATGAGGAGGAGGGCAGGTATGTGTGTGAATTTGTACATTTGTGTCATATTTTTAGGTTGTGTGAGTCAGATGTTGTTAGAATATTTTTCTGATACTAAAAAAGAGGGAAGCATATTTTTACTTTCCCACATGGCGCCACGATACAATATATTTTTAAAAATGCAATAATTCAGAAAATGTTCATTTTCAAATCAGCAGCAGTTAGCAAAACATAAGAACTAAAACAGAAACACGAGTTAAAGGTTTGATCAGCAACATCAGAAATAATTTATAATATCACAATTAAATCGACATGGCAGAATTTAGCACTTTAGCATTAGCTGACCTAATGCTTCTGATTAGTGCTTTAGGGTTAGCACAGCTAACCTGTTAGCTAGCTGCCCACCACTGGCTTCCATGATATCAAGGAAAATCATTCAATAACTTTTTTAACATAAACATATAAACAACAATAAATTGTTTTCATCTTTATTTTGAAACATTTCATGCTTTCTGGTTGTTCAGTTGTGGATTTTAATGCCCTGATTTTCCACTTTCTCATAATTACATCCACTTTGCATGATGCAGCCACCACCATGTCTTATTATTGGCCAGATGTTCAGGACACTGTCGCATATTTTCCCAGAGGTTTGTTTTAGCTCTGCTCCTTATTCCAGAGATGGAAAATGCAGGAGATGAATTTGTGGTGTGGATTATGAGCAGAGCTGGTTGGGATCTCCGACGGCTCCTTCAGCGTTGCTTTATGACCCTCAGCGCCTTTAATAACTCTAAAACTGGAGCTGATGTCCAGGAGTCAAACACAGCTTAGAGACCGAACGTCATGCTTCTGGACTGGTGGAGGAAGCTGGAGTACCCAGAGAGAACCCCAGTATGAAAAGGAGAGCATGCAGAGAGACCAGACCCCAGGCTGGGATCCAAACCCAGGACCTTGTTGCTCGTAGGCAGTGGTGCTTCCATCTGCAGCTGCTGTAAGTCTCATAAATGAGACGCTGGTTTATAACCAGCTTATTCTGGAAAAAATACGTAATTGCAGATTTATTTTATGGGCTCTCCTGACAAACGTTCCAGCTAATGACTGAGTAGCCGTCATCTTGCAGCTCTTTAGTCAACTGAGTGACTCTCTGCATTCTCACATGTTGAGGTTTCTCAGCAGAACTTCCTAAGCTGGTCCAGACTCCGGGCTGCATGATCAGACAATGAGAACATAACCAAAACTAAACACATGAGCCCAGCGTTTACCGACTGTTCTCCGTGATTAATCACACGCTGCGCCGCTATCAGACGCTTCACAGCAGCAGAGCCACGAGTGCAGCGAGGCCAGAGCAAGACAGAAATTACAGGATGAAAAAGAAGGAGCCAAGGAAGAAAAGTGGGATGGACAGAAGACGGGGAGGATAAAGGACAGGAACTGTGAAAGTAAGAGGACAGGAAGAGAGGGATATGAAAGAGAGTAATTCAGGAAGCAGGGGAATAAATGGAAATGAAAGAAAATAGGATGAAGAGGTTCAGAGCTGAACAGATGCAGAGCAGCCGCTGCTTAAAGCTGCAACTCCACAAAGACACAAACCTGTGGTGCGTTCAGGGACTGCAGGAAAAGACAGATTCAAAATCAATAAAGTGAACAGAAGGGGCAGGCCTGTGGTGACAAGTTCATCACAGTAGTCCTCTTCTCGGACTGTGGTAAACTCTCTGAGAAGAGAGAGGATGGCCCCCGACTTGGACTGCTGATGGGCACAACGAAGAGACCAACAATGAAATAATCATGAGAAAAGCTGCAGACAGCGCGAACATCATCATGATGTAAAAAACTTCAGAGCAAATCCTCCTTTTATCGTTTAAACATTAAACATTAAAGATGCTGAATCAGGTTTTTTCTAAGCATTTTAACAGAGGAAGGAAATATTTCAAACATTTATTATGTTAAAATCGTTTATTTATTCTGAACCTTTATAAGAGTTTAATTATAGCTAAATATAAATGCATCAGCATGTAGATTATTAGTGTTGATGTGTTTAAAGATGAAGAATTCCCACTGAGAAAAACTGATCAGGAAAATTGATTGGTGCATCTCTGATAAACAAGTTTGATGTTTAAATGTTTTAAAGACATAATGAGATTTAAGTGTGGATATCTTTGTCCTCCAATGTTTCTTAATGTTTTGTAAACTTTAGACGTTTCCATAAAACCAGATTTATTGTTGCAGAATTTCCTGTCCAGGTTTTGACTCTGATCCTCCGTCAGATGGTGAGAAGTTGAAGCTGCAGGATGAATGATGTGGTTAGAACTGCTTGTTATCTGAGAGGAGCCTCTCACAACCTCACCGCTCTCACAACCTCACCTCTCTCACAACCTCATTGCTCTCACAACCTCATTGCTCTCACAACCTCATTGCTCTCACAACCTCATCGCTCTCACAACCTCATTGCTCTCACAACCTCACCTCTCTCACAACCTCATCGCTCTCACAACCTCATTGCTCTCACAACCTCATCGTTCTCACAACCTCATTGCTCTCACAACCTCATTGTGCTCACAACCTCATCGCTCTCACAACCTCATTGCTCACACAACCTCATCGCTCTCACAACCTCATGGCTCTCACAACCTCATTGCTCTCACAACCTCATCGCTCTCACAACCTCATTGCTCTCACAACCTCACCGCTCTCACAACCTCACTGCTCTCACAACCTCATCGCTCTCACAACCTCATCGCTCTCACAACCTCATGGCTCTCACAACCTCATTGCTCTCACAACCTCAACACTCTCACAACCTCTTCGCTCTCACAACCTCATTGCTCTCACAACCTCACCGCTCTCACAACCTCATCGCTCTCACAACCTCATTGCTCTCACAACATCATTGCTCTCACAACCTCATCGCTCTCACTACCTCATCGCTCTCACAACCTCATCGCTCTCACAACCTCACCTCTCTCACAACCTCAGCTCTCTCACAACCTCAGCTCTCTCACAACCTCAGCTGTTGAGGAAAACCCAAAACATCCGGAGAAACGTCCCAGAATGCATCTCTGCCTGGAGCTGGGTCTGAATCATCACATCAGAGGAGAGACTGATGGCGTTAAGCCTCAGGGCGGATTATCTCCTGGTGGCCTGGTGACACGTCAGCTCATCACCATGTCCACCGTGTCCCTCATTTCCCTCATGTCCCTCATGGCCGCCGCCTCCACCAGGCTCCGGCGGCCATGTTTTGTTTTGGTGGTTCTGGCAGCAGAGCAGCAGGTGTGGGCCGCCTGGGAAACGGTCTGGCTCTGCCCGTTTCCAGTGCTGGAACCTGTACTGGTCCAGTTCCAGCAGGCAGACTGGATCAGAAATTTAGTGGGTTTCTGGTAATTTGCTCACCACAAGTCTGGAACGGGTCTGGTACCGGTTCTGACAGAATCAGGCCAGCGCTGGTCCGTCTCAGAGGAGTCACAGACACAACACAGACTGGCTGTAATGAAGCTGTTGACGGATCCGGACTGGACCGGACTGGACCCGGACCGGACCCAGACCGGACCGGACCGGACCCAGACCGGACCGGACAGGACCGGACCCAGACCGGACCCAGACCGGACCCGGACCGGACCGGACCGGACCCAGACCGGACCGGACCGGACCGGACGCAGCTGGTCGCCTGGGTGACGGTTGGTCTTCAGGACTTACTGGGACAAACTGATCAGTTTAGACAAAGTGATCAATCAGTTTGTCTCAGAAACCTGATCAGTTCATGATTTATTCCTAAGATATTGAAAACATTTTATCCATCAGCCAAATTTTTTCATTCATGTTTAATTTTAATCTACATAATAAATTCTATTAAGCCAACCATAATTATTGAAACTTCAATGTTAATATTCTCAAATACTATTTTATCAATCATATCAGTTTTTATTTGTATAGTATACATAGTGCATTATTTAATGTTTCTATCAAGTTGAGAGGAAGCTCTAATATTTGAACCGTTTATTCATAATTTATCGACACTTTCTGCCACAGGCGGCCATTTCAGGACGTTTATGATTTTGATGTGGAATGAAATGAAAATCAATTTGACGTCCCTGATGTACGTCATCAAGATTTAAGACGTTATAGTTTCTAAACGGCTAAAATGATTAGCTCTATTTTCTCTGAAAGCGTCTGTACAGCAGCAGACTGCAGGCTGGCTACCACAGCAGAGAGCCTTACTAATGAACTGGATCAGTTTGTTAGACTTCCAGCGTTAATCTGTAACGCAGAAAGAAGCCGTAAAGCAGCAGACTGCAGGCTGGCCACACAGCAGACACCATTACTTTAGACAAGAAGCTCAATGAAAACCTTCAGCGGTTCATTATAAACTGATAAAGACAGAAAGGTTCTTCAATCATTTCTCTTAAAAATGACTCCATCCTGTAAAGCCCTCTGAGCTGAGACCGACTCGGCTGCGGTGGAATTTTATTTGTAGAAATTAAACCTCATGAATGTGAGACGAGTGAGAACAGAAAAACTTTCTCTTGTTTTCTGAAAGTTTTCCAGCTCGACTCGTCCATGTAACATAGTTTAGGTTTAACTCTAAACTGTTTTAATCATGAAATCGTCAAACAGAACGAAGGTTTTTTAAATCGACCTGATTTTAGATCGAAGCGGTTCTGATGTGGTTCTTATCGGACCCGACCTGAACCAGGAAGAGTCATCATTAAAACCTGCGATGTGAACCAGACAGAAATGAATCAGTGATGATGAGAGTCATCTCCTGGATTATGAACCTGCAGCGGGTCAAATGTTCTGGTTCTGGTCGGAGATCCATCCATCCATCATCCATCCATCCATCCATCCATCCATCATCCATCCATCATCCATTCATCCATCATCCATCCATCATCCATCCATCCATCTATCCATCATTCATCCATCCATCATCCATCCATCCATCCATCCATCCATCATCCATCCATCATCCATTCATCCATCATCTATCCATCATCCATCCATCCATCCATCATCCATCCATCCATCATCCATTCATCCATCATCTATCCATCATCCATCCATCCATCATCCATCCATCCATCATCCATCCATCCATCCATCATCCATCCATCATCCATCCATCCATCCATCCATCCATCATCCATCCATCCATCCATCATCCATCCATCCATCATCCATTCATCCATCCATCCATCCATCCATCCATCCATCCATCCATCTATCCATCCATCCATCATCCATCCATCCATCATCCATCCATCCATCCATCATCCATCCATCCATCCATCATCCATCCATCCATTCATCCATCCATCCATCATCCATCCATCTATCCATCCATCCATCCATCATCCATCCATCCATCCATCCATCCATCCATCCATCCATCCATCCATCATCCATCCATCATCCATCCATCCATCCATCCATCCATCCATCCATCCATCCATCCATCCATCCATCCATCCATCCATCCATCCATCATCCATCCGTCAACCATCATCTATCCATCCATCCATCCATCATCCATCCATCCATCCATCATCCATCCATCCATTCATCCATCCATCCATCCATCCATCCATCATCTATCATCCATCCATCTATCCATCCATCCATCCATCATCCATCCATCCATTCATCCATCCATCCATCCATCCATCATCCATCCATCCATCATCATCCATCCATCCATCCATCATCCATCCATCCATCATCCATCCATCCATCATCCATCCATCATTCATCCATCCATCATCCATCATCATCCATCCATCCATCCATCATCCATCCATCCATCCATCCATCCATCCATCCATCCATCCATCCATCCCATCCATCCATCCATCCATCATCCATCCGTCATCCATCATCCATCCATCCATCCATCCATCATTTGCTGACTCAGCTGTCTTTCCTGCCTCTGATCTCCTGCTGCCTGATCAGAACCAGAGAACAGATCCAGATGGATCTGTTGGATCCAGGTGTTTTGGGGTTCTTGCAGACCCGATCAGAACCAGGCTGAGCAGTGACCAGCTGATCTTGGGTCAGAACCATCTGAAGGTGGAGATGCCTCCAGGCGGATGAGAAGAGACCTGCCTGATGACGTCACAGCCGCTACTAAAACACAGACATGTTCAGGAAGCGGCTGAGCAGCAGATCAAACCTGGAGTTTGATCCAGGATCAAATGATGATACAAGATGATAAAGTAATCCGCTGCTGCCATGTTACATAACTGTTTGTGTTTGGATGATTCTGCAGGAAAGTGATGCTTTAAATGAAACCAGAGCGTATGACTGAAGAGCAATTAGAGAAGATGTCCTGACAAAACAATCAAGAACTTCTGCAAACTTTCACAAACTCTCAGGTCAACGATTCTTCTCATCCTCACCCACATCAGATCAACCCACTGAAACATCTGAAACATTCCTGACCTCTGAACTCAGATGGAGAGAAAAGGAGGCTTAGCTTACAGGAGGAGAGCTGGTGTAGATGGGTGGCAGCCTTTCTCTTTCCCTCTCAACTCCTGACAGAGCAGAATGTTCTCCATCCATCCTGAAGAGTGGAAAACTTGTTTTTCCTCCGTGGAAAGTCTCAGTCCTCAGCTGCGCCTGCGGTGCTGCTCCTCACAGGGCTGCGCATGTTTTCCCCGCAGATGTTCGCCTCTGCGCTCCGTAAGCGGGCAAATCAGGAAGATTCACATCCTACAGCAAGCGGAGTGAAATCTACCTTCGTCGGACAGGTGAGATCCGCGTTACGCACACACCCTGACGCGCCAACGTCTCCAAACAAGCAGGCTGCGCGTAAAAGTCAGCCGTGGATTTCTCCAAACAGCGGGAGCGCCGCGGGGAAAGTTAAAAACAGATTCTGAAAACGTTAAAGGAAAGTTTCTACCCGCTGCTTCTGCGCTTCTTTCTCTGCTTTTCTGCGTCGTCGGTCGGGGAGGCAGCCCAGCAGCGAGCCGGCGCCATGTTTGGAGGAGAAGGAGGATGAGGAGGAGGAGGATGAAGAGGAGGAGGCGCCTGGACACACAGCGTCAGCAGCAGAGAGAGAGAGAGAGAGAGAGAGAACTGGATTCAAAATAAAAGAAGAGAAAAGCTCATAAAATTTGTTAACCATCTGAAGGGGAATCCAAAAATAACAGTGTTTACCAAAACACTAAAAAACAACTAGTATGAATAAAAGTGGTGGAATTTATCAGAATACATTATAATCATTTATTTTAGCTCGGCAAATAAAATAAAGTTCATATTGGATCAGAAATTTGAAATTTCCCATATGCCATATGGGCGGTTGCTCAGGGTGGCAGAAGGACACAGGGCGCCCAAGAACTAAAATATTAAATACAATATCAGTTGTTCCCTGAACACGTTTGGTTCAGGGAACAACTGAACTGCTGCTGAGTCAGCTGGAAAGAAATCAAATGTTTGCATTTTAACTGGTTAGGAGAGAAAAGGGGCCTGCCAAAGTGTAAACATTAGCATACAAGCTAAAATTAACTGTTCAGTACCATGTGGGCTAGCACTGTCATGTTAGCTAACATTGACTCACTCCATTCAGTATGATAAACTTAGCTATTATTAAAAAATAACTAGAATAGAATTCTGTCTTGTAGGCTAATGTTAGCCTGACAGCAATCACTGGCATGTTGAGTAGCATGTTGGCGCTACCAGAATGACGCTATCACCAGCATGTTGACCACTCCGTTTTGCTTTTATTAGGTAACATGTTAATGTTAGCTGAAATGCTATCATCCGTCCCTGTGCTGTCATTAGCATGTTGACCTAATAGCATGTCGATGCTAGCATTAGAGTATGTTTATCTCCAGTCTGGTTTTTCTTTGGTTTATTTAGCAGCAGTTTTAGTTGCATTTGAGAGTGAAAATAAAAAGCTGCAACTTTTATTCTGAAGGTTTTCAGAGGAAGTAGAGACTTTAGTTTCCTCCGGCTCTGATGGTGGTTCTGTAGACTCTGCGTCAGCGTTACAATTTAACTTCTGGACCCGTAATTAGTGAGAAACAGAATCCAGGCTTTGGGCCAACTCTTTGTGAACATAAAGAAACAGAAGGACTGCTGTTGTTGAAGCCCTGTGTGTGTGTGTGTGTGTGTGTGTGTGTGCGTGTGTGTGCGTGCGTGCGTGCGTGTGTGTGTGTGTGTGTGTTTCCCTGTAATGTTGAGATCATCATCCGTCTGGTTTCCCAAAAGCAGCTCCAGTGTTTCTGCAGAAATTTTATGACGTTTGTTTCCAAACCAGCATCAAGTTAACCAAACCCGCTCCGATCCAATAAAACCAGGATGGACTTGGACCTGAGTTTGGATCAGATCCTCCGGTCAGAAATCAAAGCAGCTCTAACAGAACCTGAAGCAGACGGGCCTTCCTCGTCCTCCTCTTCTTCAGTCTTCAAACGGTACAAAGCTGATTTCTACCATCTGGAGGAAAATGGCCGCAGCGTCTTCATCCAGGTCCTTGTTCTGAGGCTGATGGTCCATCCAGATGGTTCTGAGCTCAGAGAACCGGACGCCACCTCAGGACCGGGTCGTTCTCTGCACAATGTTTGCAAGGAGTTAATTCTGCAGAAATGTCTCTTTTGTTGAAGTTGTAAAATTCTGGGTCTTGAATAAATTATATAAAAGCTTAAAAAAATGAAATTTGCATATCATGCAGAACTGCCTGGTCTGCTATGAACTCATGACTAATGAACTCATCACTTAAGAACTCATTAAATTTGTTTAGTGGATCCTGAAGAATTTATCTCAGTATCTTCACTTGTTTTCTGAATTATTATGAGTCTGATTTCAATGAATTCTCCTCATTGAAAGCTGTTACACACTGAAGAGGTCAAAGGTTAAATTCTGAACTTTCTGCTTCCTCTCTGATCCTGAAAAGTTGTGGGCAGAAGAACCAGATTCTGGACAGAATCAGAACCGAGCTTTAAACTCTTTAACATGATATCTGATTTTTTTTCTCTCTGTTTAAGATGCTCAGTTCTGGCTGCTCGGCCCGGTTCGGTCTGGTCCAGTCCAGTCTGGTCTGGTCCGGTCCAGTTGCCCTGAGCTGAGATTGTTTTCGGAGCGGAGGCCTGGTTCAGCAGCAGACACGTGGTGTTGGTCCAAACCCAGATGTGCTTTTTGCATCAGTCCAGAGATTTTATGGCTTCTGGGGCTCAAACTCCAAACTCTCTCTCTCTGTTTCACTTCCTCTCTCTCTCTAGCTCTACCCCTCTCTCTCTCCTTGTCTCTCTCTTTGTCTCTCTCTCTAGCTCTACCCTTCTCTCTCTGCTTCTCTCTCTCTGTCCTGCGATTGTGTCCTCCCAGTGAATAACATCCCCCCCTGCAGGGAGCCTTGGCGTTTCGGACCCAGCAGAACAGAACCCAGCGGGTCGTCGGGCCGCATTACTGCAGGTTAAACTGGATCTAAACCTGCTGCTTTCTGCTGTTGCATTGTGGGTCGTTATGTAAGAGTTAAAGGCCGTGGCTTCCTCTGCTGATGAAATGAAGAAAACCTGATGTCATCGAACGCAGCTCAGTTGGGAAAGAACAAAAGATTTCTTTGAGCCCAAACTTTGGATATTTCACAACCCGAGCCGCCGCCTGGTTCCTGCTGTTTGTTATGAAGACGGAGAAAAACTGAGCAGGAAATGTGCAGATTTAAGCTTCCTGACCATCCAGGACAGGAACTGCTGAACTCTAACTTAGAATAAAACTTCAGGGTTTTACTGCTGCTCATTTTTCACTAATTTAATGGAAATAAAAAATTATAAGTGACTTCAGTTACAACATAAACATATTCAGTCATGATGCGGCTGATTCAGAAACTGAACTGTCATAAAATACTTTATTTAACAAACATCAGTTTGGTTTTCTTCTGTTCTAACAACAGAGATAATTTGTATTAATTATTTATTCCACATAATTCACATAATATAAATTTGTTCAAGTTGAATGGTGAACTATGAACATGAACTCATTCTGAACAAATATAAAACATTTGTACATCACTCATTGGAATAATGAAGAAGAGAAATATGAATAAATCACAGATTAATATGATAAAATATCGCAGCTGTTTGGATTCATTCGGTCTGAGAATGAATGACTGATGATAGCATTTCAGCTAACATTAACATTAATTGCTAATGCTGTTGCTAACGCTAATGCTGTTGCTAATGCTAACGCATTCATTTCCTTTGATCCTTCGCTCCTGCCACTGTGAGAAAGAAGAATCGTGTGCTGTGATGTTTTACAATATTTATACCAACTTCATATCAAACGTCACAAATGACATCATAATGTGGATTTAAAACTCGGTTATGTTTGCAGCCTCACAGCTCAGCTGTACTTTCCTCTAGAGACATAATTAAAAGTTAAAAATGACTCAGAAATAGATTTTCATCTCCACCCAAACATTTTAATTATTGAAGGTATTTCTGCTGCTTTGTTTCCCTCTGCTGTGAGGCAAACAGTTTTCTGTCCAATCAGGTCAGAGGTCAAACTCGTTCAGTTCTTCAGATTTCTGATAAAAACTCATAAAACTGGATCTGTTTCCATAACAACCTTCTCCCTTCTCCAAAAACGTCTCAGTGCAGATTTCGCTTTCCTCACAGAGACGTTTGCCGAGGCCTTAAATGGAGCTGTGAGCTCGCCCTGGAAATGACGTCAGCATGCAACCAGTGACTCAGCTGTGGGATTCCTCCTGGACTTCCTGGATCCTCCAGGAGGAACCAGGAAGGTTCTGATGGGAACCAGGAACATGAATGATCCTCCTGGATCTGCTGCTCTGAATTCACTCTGCAGACATTTTAGAACTGAACTTTCTTTGTATTCTTCTTAAATTTGTGTCTTTCAGGCAGATTTTGTTTTTACTCCAAAAACAGAAAAAAAGAGAAAAAAAACAAAGAAAACATGAAGATTTAAGGCTGAAGTGACTCTGCATGCTGCAGGTTTAACTTGTAAAGATCCTGATCTCTACAGATTTTATCCACTAGAAAGAAACGTCCCTGCAATAAATCACTAAGTTAATAGATAACGAAATAGAAAAACATTTGATTCTGTTGATCACAACTTTAGTCACTAAACTTGAAGTGGATCAAAAGCTCCTTAAAGAGCCTGAAACAGTTTGTGAAAATAAATGATCATAAATCAGTAAAAGGGAATTAGGTCATTTATAATGTTATTACTGACATATGCAAAGTAATAAATCATTTAAGTTTGCATTGTTTGCAAATGATAGTCATTGTCTAAAATGGGACAACAGTAATGAGCAGCAGATTATGTAAATGATTACAACAGAAATAAACTAAAATTGAAAAATCATTAAATCTACTGAGTAAAACAAATATTATGGACGAGCCAGGGATGCAAATGCAGCTGGAAAAACAAATAAAAAGAATTAAACAGAAATTTATGTGTAATCTGGGATCACAAAACCTGATGGAAACAAACTGGCAAAATATTCTGAAATATTAGCATCTGAAATCTTTAAAACTTCTGTTTTTACTGAACTGGTTCTACTTTTCAGTTCAGTAAAACTGCAAAGTTTTACTGAACTTTTTCAGTCTTTATCTGCTTTGGGTTTAGATCCCTGAGCTGCCTCATCCTGCCATCTGAGGAAGAGGAGGGAGAGGAGGAAGACGAGGGAGAGGAGGGAGAGGAGGAAGAGGAGGAAGAGAGGGAGAGGAGGAAGAAGAGGGAGAGGAGGAAGAGGAGAGAGAGGAGGAAGAGGAGACAGCAGTTGTCAGGAGGAATATTTGGGTTGATTCATAGCAACCAGTCCAAACTACTGGAGAGAGAAAGAAAGCAGGACCAACATCTGGAGAGGCAGGTCCGTTTACACACACACACACACACACACACACACACACACACACACACACACACACACACACACACACACACACACACACACACACAGGCCTTCCCTCAGAACCGTGTGGAGCAGGAGAGAGGTTACTGTAGTTCAACTGGGAGGAGGAAGAGGCTGGACCC